AAACTGGCCTACCTTCCAGGGCCATTGTTAAGAATCTGTGTGTGCTTTTTCCTAAGAAAAGTTTTAGCTGCTTCTCTCTCCAAAATACTCACAGGGGCTTCAATTCAATTTGATTTATTACGATCAAAGATCAGCATGCACAGGGGCTTCTGATAACTGATAAAACCAAACTGTTAAAAAAAAAAAGTAACTGACAATAATAAAACAGCGGTTAAAATAATTTACACGGCAGCAAATTAAAACGGCAGTTATTTAAAACCAAAATTAGCAGACTCAAATAAACAAAGCAGTAGATTAAAAAATATACAGTGAAGCAGCAGCAACAAAAATAAAACTCTCCCTGATTTTATTTAAAATGTATATTTTTATTGTTATATTTGTTTTTTTGTTTTAATCCTACCAATAAAATGTTAATGAGAAAAAAAAGATTAAAGAGAGATTTGGGGTTTGTTATTTTATTCTGCGATTTCTCTTAAACCCGCCCAACTAATCAAATCTCCACAGGGTGGTCAATAGCTCTGCAAGGCAAGAGCCCCACTTGGACCCGCGCACTTTTCAAAAACCTTTGGGTGGGCTCCAGGAAAGGTTTGGCAGGCCTCGCGGCGCCCACAGGAACCATACTGGGAATCTCTGCTCTACACCATTAAGAACACACGAGTGCAGCAATACTTGGATCGCACCAATAAATGAAAAGGGGTTGGGTGAGGATCCCAGGTGTCTGTTCCACTAACAGCAGTGCTTTACTCTGGCATAAGGAGGCTTCGACTAACCCAGGAGAATCTTCTGCCAGTGGAGGCCTCCTTGTGCTGGAGGAAAGGGCCACTGTTAGAAGACCAGATTCACAGGACCCAACCATATATGCATATATATACATACATACATACATATATATATATACACACACACACACAGATATATATATATATATACATATATACATATACATATAAAGGTAAAGGTTCCCTTGCTCAAAAGCTAGTAGAATCCGACTCTAGGGTTGCGGTGCTCAACTCCGTTTCAAAGCCGAAGAGCCAGCGCTGTCCGAAGACATTTCCGTGGTCATGTGGCCGGCATGACTAAACACCAAGGTGCACGGAACGCTGTTACCTTCCCACCAAAGTGGTACCTATTTATCTACTTGCAATTTCTTGCTTTCAAACTGCTAGGGTGGGAGGAGCTGGAACTAGAGACGGGAGCTCACTCCGTCATGCAGCACCCGGGTCTTGAACTGCTGAACTACTGACCTTCCACAGCCTGCAGTTCAGCGTCTTCACCACTTGAGCCACCGCAGCTCCATATATATACATATACATGCTTCCAAAGTACTATTGCTATGTAGCATCCTATGATGGCTTCACCGCTATTGCTTTGGTTTCATAGCCCTCTTTAGATTCAAAATGTCTCAGGAAGGGTAAGTTCCTTGAAGACAAATGCCTATTCAAATTAATAACGCAGTCACTATTATTTAAATGCCATTTTAATGTATTTTAATTCTGTTTTTGTCAGGCAGCCATCTGCATCCTGAAGGGCATGAACACCTGAAGACGCCTTATACTAGCCCTGTTCATGCTACAGTGAACACATGTACAACCTGTTTGTAAGAAAGAGTCAGTGTACCTTCACTTCACCAATGAAACTAGGAACCAGTCACTGGATGAATGAGGCTTGAATTGCTCATTGAGCTGTGTATGTGTTGAATGTAATATGAGAATTACTCAGTGCACATGTAAAAAAAACCCAAGTGCACAGTGCTTGTGGACTGAATGTGTTCTCACTGTATTTTGTAAACACGGCTCCTGAGTTGAGCCACAGGTCTACCCAAATCAGTACTGTCTACCCTGACTGGCAGCAGCTCTCCAAGGTCTCAAGCGGAGGCCTTCATCTTCATCTTCATCATCATCATCTAATGGGTGTGTAAAGTGCCATCAAGTCGCAGCCGACTTATGGTGCACAACTCAAGGCAAGAGATGTTCAGAGGTGGTTTTCCATTGCCTGCCTCTGTGTCACAACCCTGGACTTCCTTGATGGACTCCCATCCAAATACTAACTGGGACCAACCCTGCTTAGCTTCCAAGATATGATGAGATCCTGCTACCCTGGGCCACTCAGGCCTGGGTAGACATCATCTAATACCAGATCCTTTTAACAGAAGTTTCTGGGAACTGAGCCTGGGATCTCCTGCGTGCAAGACAGGTGCTCTACCACAGAACCATGGCCCCTCCCCAGGTCCCCCCCCTTTTGTGTTTGGTTTTGTTTGTTCCCTGTGGGTCAGGTTTCTAGTAAGCCACCTTGGGGTCAGTGGGAAAGGTGGCATACAAATATTTTAATTACACGGATAAAGTAGCACTGAAAAAGAACCCCACCACAATTTGTTTGCCCAAACAACTTTTGTTTCTGCAAATTCCTAAGGAAGAGAACCAGTCAAGAGAACAGGCTGGGATGGGTATGCCTGGTGCTGTTGGGTTGTTGAAGCAAAGATCTGACCATTTCCTGGCTGGAAGAGTTCCCCACCACCACGTTAGCTACTCTACATCTTTGAAAGGAAGAGTAGGTTTTAAATACTTCTACAGTACCTAGTGCACAATTGGTTCAAAAGAAGTCACTGGATCCAACATAAGGAGTCACTGGATCCAATGGCAAAAGACAGACCTGATCCAATCCTTGTATTATCACTTTCAGATACTGTTAATATCAACAGGTGTGCTTTAAAGTGTTTGACTGGACTGTGACCAGAGGGTTTTTTTTATGCTCCAGGGTATGTTAACAGTGTGATCTGGTGCTCCTTTTTTGCTGAATTACAAAAACAAAATACACCGTGGAGAGAAGGTATTGCTCAAAGTCAAATACCACTAAAGTGTTACTTAAAGGCATATGTCTCAAACATAATAAATAAGAAAATCATGCATGGAGATTAAACTGTAAATCTTTTAGTATGAGCCACATGAACTTATTACTTATTAGCACAAAAACTATGAGACAAACACACAAATATAAAGAAGCCTTCCTGAAGGCAAGACCAGTCAATGGGCTGTATACAGTCCTTGAGAATATTGTAATCTTCTTTGCTGTTTCTTAGTTTCAAACTTTCAGGTCTGCAGGGAGGCTGAGAAACCAGGCTGATGTCTCCTTTCAGCCAAGAGAGTTTTGATTCTACTTCTTCAGAGCCAATATATTCTTATGGAACCACACAGTTTACATATTTTGCATGCCTTATCATACTCCCACAAGGGCTCGTTGCACTCAAGAACCACTTTGCCGTAAGTAGTGCAACGAGCCCTTGTGGGGGTATGATAAGGCATGCAAAATATTTTTTAATTTATGTATTCTTTGGATTTATATCCCGATGTGGTTCCATAAGAATATATTGGCTCTGAAGAAGCAGAATTGAAACTCTCTTGGCCAAAAGGAGACGTCAGCCTGGTTTCTCCACCTCCCTGCAGACGTGAAAGTTTGAAACTAAGAAACAGCAAAGAAGATTATCGTGTGTTCAAGGACAGCCCATTGACTGGTCTTGCTTCAGGAAGGCTTCTTTATATTTGTGTATTTGTCTCATAGCTTTTGTGCTAATAAGTAATAAGTTCATGTGGATCATACTCAGGGGTCATTTGGGGGGGGGACGCGGGGGGACGCCATCCCCTCGGGTGAGTTGCGGGAGGGCGGGGCCTGGAGCTCCCTGCTGGTGCCCGCTGGAGGTCGCCGCCGGCTGTGGGGAGGACACACTTCCGGTGATGTCAGGGGGTGTGGCATATGCTAATGAGTTATGCTAATGAGTCCCCCTAGCTCTTTTTCTACGAAATGACCCCTGATCATACTAAAAGTTTAATCTCCATGCATGATTTTCTTATTTATTATGTTTGAGACATATGCCTTTAAGTAACACTTTGGTGGTATTTGACCTTGAGCAATACCTTCTCTCCACGGTGTATTTTGTTTTTATTGTACTAGTATCTCCGTGGTCCCGTTGTATTTAGTGCTCCTTTTTTGCTGTCAGGTCACAGCTGACTTATGGCAACACTGTGGGTTTTCCAAGGCAGAAGAGGCTCAGAGGTGGTTTGCCCCTTGCCTACCTCTATGCACCCTTCCATGGGACTAAATTTTACAGACATTCAAGGGACACTTCATCCTGAGCATATAAGCACATGGTTGCATAATTCACTTTTTGGAAGCTAAACCCACTTTGAGAACCAGTTTGGTGTATTCTGGGAGAGCTGGTTTTGATTTCTGACTCCTCCACATGCAGCTGCTGGTGTGATCTTGGGTCAGTCATAAATTCTTTCAGAGCTGTTCTCTCAAGGGCAGTTCTCAAAAGAGCTCTCTCAGCCCCACCCACCTCACAGGGTGTCTGTTGTGGGGTGGGGAGGGGAAGGGGATTGTAAACCGCTCTGAGACTCCTTCGGGAAGTGAAGGGCAGGGCAGGGTATAAATCCAATCTCTTCCCTTCCTCTTTCTAAAACCGTTTTAAGGCAAGCTCCGTAGAGCATGACATCTGATAAACAAACACTTGGGGGCATTTTGTTAAAAAAAAGTAGTTAAACTTTTTTTAAAAAGCCATTGGTATCATTTTGGTTTGCAAAGTGGCCCTGGAAAAAAATCGGCGTCGATCGAAGTCCAGCGGTACCGGATCAAGCAAATCAAATACTTTTCTCCTGCCTTAACGCATCCTCAAGACCCCTCTGATTCCAAAGGAACTTTCCCTCCAGCAAAGCAGCGGCCTGTGGGGTCCCAAATTAATTTTACCGCAAGACAAAATGAACCGCGCCCACCCACCCCGCCAGATGACTGAACTCTCAGGATGAACAGCCCCAGGGGGTCTGATGAACAGCCGGCATCAACAGGAAAATGGGTACTCGCGAGCCTTACCGTGCAATCCTAAACACGGCGACACCCTCCGGAATCCACCGAATTCAGCGGGCTTAGGTGCGACTCTGTCGAGGACCGCTCTGTTAGATTAGTAAATATCTTAAGGCGATCTGAGACCCACCCATCTGAAAGATCCTTACCGGCATCATCTCGCCTTCTTCCCCCTGTCCCCCTGCGACGCGCGACGAACGCAGCTGCCGAACCGCCCGCTCCAACTTTCCGCCCAGCGATCAAGTTCCTCCTATGTCCAAATGTATGTCTCAATGAAAGATACTGTATCTTTTTTCGAGGGACCACGTGGGAGGCGAGCGGGGAGGATCCTGGGGGTTGTAGTTGCTGCTTTTGGACTCCGGCGAACTGGGCAGATTCGTAGGAGGCAGACGGGGCGGATTCCTGAAGCAATCGAGCCGTAGAACCCGCTGAGCAAAGATGCAGGGCTGCGGACTTATAAAAGGCACTGGCTCTACTCTGGAGTAAGCGGATTGTGCGGGCGTCAATAGCCATACAAATCACTCCTTGTATTTAAGTATTTTCAGTAGGCGATTACATTCTACGACAGGGAAGCCAAGGATAGACTGGAGTGGGGAGTCAGGAAGCCGCCTCTTGCTACTTGCACTTTCACAGTTCGGCTTGCGTTTTTGGCCTTTGGAGGCTCCCCAAAAAGGGAGGGTAAACAACCGGTCATCTGCGAACTACATCTCCCAGAGTGCTTTGCTCTGCAAGCCTGGATGGCACATCTGAACCAATTTGAAGGAATATACTGTCAGCTGTTGTATTTCTTCCTACCATGCAAAGCAGATCTTTAGTTGTTGCTTGTTCAGCGCATTCTGTACCTTATTTGGGGGTAAATCCTAAAGTATGTGTATCTGGCACATCAATGAGGAGAACTCCCCACGGGTAGCTGTGTTAAATCTGCGGCTCCCAAATTAAAAAGAAGTCCAGTGGGGCTTCAGAGATTAACAACATTTACTGTGCAGCGGTAGAGCATCTGCTTGACATGCAGAAGGACCCAGATTCAACCCCCGACGTCTCCAGTTAAAAGGATCGTGTGAAAGATGTAGAAAAGAGCAAGAGTCCAGTAGCACCTTAAAGACTAACTAAATATGTGGCAGGGTAGGACCTTTCATGAGTCACAGCTCACTTCTTCAGATACCAAAGAGCAAGAGCCCAGTAGCACCTTAAAGACTAAACAAAATTTGTTGCAGGGTATGAGCGTTCGTGAGTCCCTGCTCACTTCTTCAGATTCAAGAAAGCTCCTACCCTGCCACATATTTTGTTAGTCTTTAAGGTGCTCAAGTGGTTAAGATGCTGAACTGCAGGCTGTGGAAGATCAGTAGTTCAGCAGTTCGAGACCCGAGTTGCCGCATGACGGAGTGAGCTCCCGTCTCTAGTTCCAGCTCCTGCCAACCTAGCAGTTCGAAAGCAAGAAATTGCAAGTAGATAAATAGGTACCACTTTGGTGGGAAGGTAACAGCGTTCCGTGCACCTTGGTGTTTAGTCATGCCGGCCACATGACCTCGGAAACGTCTTCGGACAGCGCTGGCTCTTTGGCTTTGAAACGGAGATGAGCACCGCAACCCTAGAGTCGGACTCGACTGGCTTTCAAGCAAGGGAACCTTTACCTTTTTAAGGTGCTACTGGACTCTTGCTCTTTTCTACTGCTGCAGACAGACTAACATGGATACCCATCTTGATCTGTCTCCAGATGAGAGATGTGAAAGATCTCTGCCTGAGGCTGAGACCCTGGAGAGTGGGCGTGCCAGTCTGAATAGACCATATTCACCTGGATGGACCAAAGGTCTGATTCAGTACAAGGAAGCTTCATGTATGGTCATGTATGTTTACATCCTTTGAAACCTACTGATCTCAGTGGACAGGGAAGAGTGTGCCTCTGTTTAGTCCAGCATAAACTGCCCTGAGTCAGAGCTGCCTTCGTCAGATGTGTGCAATGAACAGCCGCAGCAGATATAGTTATGCTTACAGTTTCAAGCAGCTTGAACCTGTGGAGTTACTACTTGTAACTTCAAGTATACATATGTGTACTGGGGATGTGGGCTTTGGGCATCTGATTAAGTGAGCACTCTCCGACTCCTGAAAACTTAAACTGGAAGAAAAAGTTAATCTGTCAAGTGCCACTAGGCTCCTGTTCTTTTTTCTTAACATGGGAACCCATCTGGAATTTCCAGTTTACAGTCTTGCGCAGCTTTGACCCCTGAATTGCTGCTGGGGATTTAACCCATAAAGTGATTTTAAGAGACGGAGAGAGAATACAGGAGTATATCAGGGTTTAGGGAAAGTGGCTTGAGTATACCTGTACCAGGAACCTTGCAGTGGGAGGATGGTGGTTATTGGTTTTATTTATTAAACAATCTGACAAGGTTATTGTAAGGAAAATGAGATCCCTGATGGGATAAAGATGGGAAGGAGGAAGAGGAGGGATATCTACCCTGCCCTTCACTACCTGAAGGAGTCTCAGAGCTGCTTACAATCCCTTTCCCTTCCCCTCCCCGTAACAGACACCCTGTGAGGTAGGTGGGGCTGAGAGAGCTCTTGTGAGAACAGCTCTGAAAGAACTTATGACTGACCCAAGGTCACACCAGCAGCTGCATGTGGAGGAGTGGGGAATCAAACCCGGTTCTCCCAGATTAGAGTCCGCACTTCTAACCATTACACCAAACTGGCTGTCATTAAACAGTACGTCATCTGGTTATTTCTCACCTCCTAAGGGGTTTAGGCAGCCTTCTTGGAGTTACCACTGGCCCTCCAATTATCTCCTCAAGAACCCTGAGTGATTTGCTAGTGTGGAAGGAAGGCAACCAGTGCTTCGTCACCCTGTGAACTTTGTGCCTGAGAGGAGTTTTGACATTAGACCTCCCAGATTCGTCTGACACTCTGTCTGCTGCTCTCTTGAGTGCGGGAGACGGCCTTATACCAAATATGATCACAGCCACGTAGCTTGTGCTCCGTGGGGTACAGCCTGATCTGAATGACAGAGGTTCTCCTGGGTCTCTCTCTCAACACTTAAGACCTTTTTACTGGCGATGCCAGTGATCGATCGGGGGAACTTCTCCATGCAAAGCTGATGCTCTGCTGCCACTGTGCCACATCCCTTCCCCTTGGAGTTTGCCCTGTGTATCTACCCAAATGCTTCCCCAAGATGGGATGAGAGAGAGATCAAAAGCTTTCCTCACAGGGAGTTCACTTGCAGTGTACTACGGAATGCTTGCATATGCAGTGATAATTGTTACCACTGATATAGCACTTTAAAAAGTTTCAAAGCATATTATCCTGTGATTCTCACAACAGCCTTATGAGGTAGGCCAGAATTCTCACTCCTTATTGTATTTATATTTCACAGCATTTATACCCTACCTTTCCGCTCTCATAAAGACCAGCGAGGCAGCTAACAAATTAAAACATACATAGTACAGATGGGAGAGCTGCTGGGAAAATCGCGTGTCTAAGAGGCCCTAGTGAATTAGTGGCAGGGCTGAGACTTGAACCAGGGTGTTCCTGGATCCCAGGACAGTCTCTTGGCCGTTGTGCTATGCCAGTCTGTGCAAATCAGAGGTCCCCGTTTTCTTCCATCACGGTTCAGGGGACTTGGCTTGCCTTTTCCCACCAATCCTGATAGCTCATTAGCATGAAGTAACCTCATCCGGACACCTGTAGACCTCCTTTTTCAGCACCCCTTCCCGGGAGACTGTGCTTCCTCAGCTGTCAGCTTCTTTGCCAGCTCCCTCGTCCCTCCTGATTGATTCCTCCGCAAAAGGTGAGGGATACTGCAGCCCTGCTGCCCCCCCCCCCCCCCCCCCCCCCCCCCCCACAGCTGCTGGAAGCCTAGCCTTTTGCAGCAGACTGCAGCCTCACACACACACCTGATGCTGCATCGCCCGTCCCTGTCCATAAGCTTTTTTTTTTTTTTTGCAGTCAGAATTGCAGATTGTCTTTGAGTACGTTCATGCTGCATCTCACATGCCTGTTGCTGCTGCTGCTGCTTCCTTTTCACGGAATGACCTTTACAGCCCTGTCTCGCTCACGGGAAAATTGCTTGGAACCATATAGAATTTTAGATTTTAAAAAATAATCACGTAGAAAGTCACAGGGTTTAATCCCTGGTATCTCCAGTTAAAGGATCTCAGGTGGCAAGTGCTGGGGAATGGCTTTTCTCAGCGTCTTGGCAAGCTGCTCCAAGTCAGAACAGATCATATTTATTTATTTGTTTGTTTATTTGGTGTAGTGGTTAAGTGCGCGGACTCTAATCTGGGAGAACCGGGTTTGATTCCCCACTCCTCCACTTGCACCTGCTGATGTGACCTTGGGTCAGTCACAAGCTCTGGCACAGCTGTCCTTGAAAAAGAGCAGTTTGTGTCAGAGTTCTCTCAGCCTCACCCACCTCACAGGGTGTCTGTTGTGGGGAGGGGAAGGGAGAGGAGTTTGTAAGCCGCTCTGAGACTCCAAGTGAAGGGCGGGGTATAAATCCAATCTCTTCTTCTCTTCTTCTTCTATTTATTTTTCAGATTTCCATCAGTGGCTATTAGCCACAAGGTATAGATAGGGTCTCTGGGGCAATTGATGCTCTGTCTTCTTGGTGCTTGGGGGGGGGTCAACAGTGGGAGGGCTTCTAATGTCCTGGCCCCACTGGTGGACCTCCTGATGGCACTGGTATTTCTGGCCACTGTGTGATACAGAGTGTTGGACTGGATGGGCCACTGGCCTGATCCAACATTGGCATCTCTTATGTTCTTATGTTACCCCACCCTCCCGGCCAAAGCTGGCTCACGGCGGCTCTCATAAAAACAGGTAATTATATTAAAATATCATTGTGGTTAAAACAAGTATAAACAAATATAAAGTCATAATAAAGCACTAGTGGTTTTTAATAGTCATATGATGGTAGCAGCCAGTGTAGATCATTCTCCGCTCGCAGTCAGCTCTCTGTGTTAGTTGGATGTCCCTGCAGGGTTCACTGTTCTTTAAGGCAGTTGATGGCAGTTTTCAGGGTCCAGGGCCCTCTCCCTTTTACCAACCAATGTTGGTGGACCACTCTCTCCCCTTGAGGGCTCAGGGCAGTGAACAACATTTAATTAATTCATTTAGAATCAGACTGAAACAGTTAAAAACAATAAAACCAATACAGTTCAAAACTATTCCAGATGGTACAAAAGGCAAAGGTTTCCCTTGCTCGAAAGCTAGTCGAATTCGACTCTAGGGGGCGGTGCTCCTCTCCGTTTCCAAGCCAAAGAGCCAGCACTGTC